ATGCTTCAGAACATCATGTGGACTGTGAAAACGTGTTTAACAGGCAAAAATATGCTAGATTTAGTGCAAGATTAACTGGAAATATGTTCTGGCATCGTTGTGACGACCCCGTCCTCTTTTCTGGTCATTTCTTGGTGTGTCTGTTTCTTTTAGGTTTTTCCAGGTAGATGGGTGGAGCTACTAATTGGATGTGCACCTGGAAGGCTGGGCCTAGGTTATTTAACTGGCTCCTCCTTCTCATTCTTTCTCTCTCCGACCATTTCTCAGAGCACCTGCTTCCTGTTTGGTTTGTGATATTTGGTTAGAAAATAAATATTTTTGTTTTAAGTTACTTAAAAGTGTGTGGTCTCCCATTTTTGTCTTGCTCTCTGAGCCAGGGCTATGACAACACACACACACACTGATGTTATTATATTGAATTACACTTTTTTCCACTCACTTCCTTGCCCCTAACTGAGTGAAAAGCCCTCATTCCGTCACCTCTAAGTTTAATGTTTACATTATTGAGACTTTTGTACACATGTAAGACATGACTGTGTTAGAAATCGCTGAGTGATCTCTGGTTGGTACAGTGACGCTCAGCAAATGTAATCAGGAGAACAGAGATTATGAAACGATTGCCTGATTTCATACTGTCAGATTTCCATTGTGGGGAATGGGGAAGCAATTGCATTCAACCTTCACTTTCACGTGCCGTGTGATGAATTATTGTCAAGTCATTCTGTCTAAATTATTAGTGATAGTTACCCCATGTTATTTTTTTTAAATGGCCTAATTAGAATGCGACAGCAGTCTACTCATTTAACTCTTCCAATAGTAGGTATTATATATATATAATTTACTTGAACTGTTACTGTTATTGGTCATGCTTTCTCCAGTAGCAACAAACGTTAAGCAGACATTTAATTCAGCAACTTGTTCAGCATTTGTTTTAAAATGTCATCATTTTTTTGGAGGATATGAGGCTGGTTGTTCCTGGCTCTCATCAAAGTTTAATTAGTTGCAGGATGGGTTCTTTTGTTAAGAAATGAATGAAATTAAAGGTCTGTGTAAATCAGCACCAGTGTGTAATGACTCGCTCATTCACATCTTTGAGACTGTTAACATTGGCAGAAAATATCGGTAGTAGTATTTAAATAAGTATTTAAATACCCAAACGTGTCATGGTAAAACTATAGGTTTTGTTAATGTTTGCGTGTAGCACTGTGCAAAAAGTATTTTTCAAATATGTTTAAATATTTTTTAAACTATAATAATAACTCATGTAATACTACATAAGGAACTATGTCACTCACCTACATTAACACATTCATGTTGAATTTTATTATATATATATATATATATAGAACATGGAATGCATTTTTTATTTTTAAAATTTCATCAAGTGGGTCAGTTTTGGGCTGTGAGCCTTATGTTTGACACCCCCCATGTCTAGGACATAAAAACATCAGAAAGGTTTGACTTATGCTTGAGAGCCATAAAGAAAGGCAAAAAAGATCCCATAAAAACAACACTAACAAAGAAAACGAATAATATGTCAGGTTCCGTATACAGCACCGCATGATGATGTCTTCGAGTTTCAACGCTGTATGTCGGAATGATGGAACAACACCTTCTTAATAAATTTATTGGGAATGGAGAGGTAACCATGAAACGCTGTAGGTTGAGTAAGTAGTAAACTGCAGCTTGTTTTGTTATTGTTATATTAAATGCTGTTATTATTTTAAAGGCTAAGATAGAGAAGAATAAAGAAAGGCTGCACCAAAATGCCTGAATTTCTTGTTACTTGATCAGTGTCTCTTCATAATGACCATCTAAATAAACTTGAACAACTGAAAGCCTCATAAAATCACTGGCCTCCCACACAAGTATCAGGTTAGAAAACATGGAAAGAGCACTAATTTTGACATGCACAGTAACTCTGGCTGCAGCTCACCATTGCTGAGGATGATGGAGTCAGAAGTGTTTTAATGAGAGAAGCATATACATAAACTAAACGGACAGCTGAATATCCAAATGTTCAAAGCTGCATGTAACCAGCTCCGAATGAGATACAGTTTCCACTCTGCCAGCTCATAAACGAAGAACACATAATGAGCACAAAGCAGAGACACCGGACATCTGGAGGAAGCATATGGATATCTGTGTTAATGGTGAGCAGATAGACCATAACTCCAACCTTTAGACAGTGTTTTAGCAACAGCTGGAACCCAATAATCGCCGATTGTTCAGAATTGCAACTGCTGTGTGACAAAGAAAGACAGGAGGAAGTGGTGCGGGGATAACTGTGGAGTATTCTTTGAAACGCGAGAAATAATCACTGAACACAAGCACACAATTACGATGGGTGTATTTGTGTACTGGTTTTCACCATGGTACGGGGACCAAAAATATCATGTCCTAGATGAACTATATGGGTATTATGCAGATAACATATACCATGGAGAATAATCACTGTTTTTGAAATTTCTGTAATTCCCAACTCAATCTGTGTGGAGCCTCATTTATGCTCTTTTTTTTAACAAATGTCACCGTCATCCACTAGGGGCAGTGCTAAACTTCTTTAGTGCCTTTAGAATCACAACCAGTTCATGTCCTGTTTTGTTCCAAATGGTTCTTTGTGAGGTCCCAGTCTTCAGAACCTAGTGAGGTAACGCAACCGATGTCCTTGAAAGTGAGAACACATTAGCACAGTCACATCAACCTTTCTTCATACAGTTCTTCCAGTTCTGTTGTTGTAGTTTCAGTGTTGTTGGGGGCAGTGGTGTCTTGGTAGTTAAGGAAGCAGACCTGCTTACTTTGGTGATGAGGTAAAAGAGGTCACACAAGTAGTTTACTTTTCTTGTTTTCTTCTTGCTTCCTTTATTATTGCTTGTATTTCATGTTAGCACATCAGCGCCCCAACAATTTCTACTGCTACTGTTCTGTTTCCCGCTTTGGGGCACACATCTGTTAGCTCTCTAAAAATGTACGAAAATGCAAAAAAGAAGTTCCATTAAAAAATACAACTTTAATGACAGGATAAAGGGATAAAAGAACAGATAAATAAATGGAGAATTGACAACCCTGATTTTTCCCATTAAAGTAAAGAAATTCAACTCATCATTGGGATGCAGCCATAAATTACTTTCTCTTTGGGTTATCTAAAAGGTTGAAGGCCAAAGGTTTTACTGCTCCAAATTGAAGAGGTGGTGATGTGGTAAGTGTTGACTTCCTGTTGGTTGGCTGCGATCAAGCTCTTGTTATTTCAAATGACCCCAATTGTATTTCATTGGTTTCTTTCATTCTTGCCAGATAGTTGTCTTCCATAAAACATCTGCATCGCATCCTGTTGTGATGTCCCTTTCCAGATGCAGCTGATTTGTTGCTCCTATAAAAAGACATCTGCCGAGTCACCACGGTGAAAGAGATGTAATTAAAAATAACGTATTTGCTGTGATTGTCTACAAGGGATTTTTGGTTTTGACAGGTGTGTGGAATAATTGGTATAAGTGAAGGATTTTTTTTTTTTGGGAATCTGTTTGCTCCCATTTATAAAATATTTATTGGAATATGTTTAACTACTACAGTATTCCAGAAATTCACTGCAGTTACTTCTTACTCTATTGCCATACATTACTATTGAAGGAGCTGAGGTGAAGTGGCTCTGTGCATTTTATGACTTAATCAAACCAACAGACAGCTTTATGATGTCTGTCATGTCTGTCGCTTTTTTTTATAACTGATATTGTGTCCATGACTGCTTAACAGAGTGATCTACTGCTGTAGTATTTAGTCTCAGCTCTGGAAAATGTAGGTATTTCAGTCCTGAACGGTAACAATGAAATACTTGTATTCATGCTGTGGTCGCACTATGCACTTTATATTCAGCAGAGAAAGAAACCCGTGGCTCAACATTATGTGTTAAAAGGACGTGTTTATAGTGGCACTCACTATCTATCTCCAGGTGCATGTGTGTGTGTGTCCGCATTTGTGTATCTGCGCACACTCCTGTCTTGCCACAATTCCTTTCCCTCTCATTAAATTTGAGGGTTAAATTTGCATGTCCTCACCTTCAGTGGGACGGTTATTTATATCCAGAGGTGTTTCCTTTTCTGTAGGTGTGTTCTTTTACAAGACAGAGCTAGTGAAACTGACAGGAAGTGAGGAGGAGAAATAACAGGAATAAAGACCATAGAGAGAAAAAAACCGACGTCCAAGTCTGAGAACTGCAGCATGGGACACTGAAGGCTTAGCTGTGAACCCCATACCAAAAACTGCTCTCTTTTTTGGTCCCAACAACAAGTTCTCAAAAAACACCAACCATCTCCATGCCCTCTTTCAGGACATCCTCAAATCTCCTCTTTCCTGGCTGCTCCATCTCGCACATCCTTGACTAAGATGTTCGCTCACTCTCCTCAACACATGTCCAAACCATCTCCACCTCACCTCTAACCTCATTTACTGCTCCACCTTAACTATACCACTGATATGCTCATTTCTACCTCTGAGTGTCTCACCATTGTCTTAATAAAACATAATCATCCACCATACCCACAGATCAGGGTCAGGTCTTTGTGGGAGGTCTCATTAGTATTGATTTGTTCATTTGTGTAGCTGACAATGATTTTCTGTCTGTCAGTAATCTTGATCTCAGGTGACCAAATCTAGGTATCGTCTCAAATGTCCTTACAGATATGACTTCAAGTTGCATAGATACTGTATGTTTCTGGCTGTTCTGGTTACATTATAACTTATCATTATATTACAAATTATCATTCTTGATTCCTTGACGTCCCCTCTTTTTCACCGTGCATTCAGTCTCCTACTCTCCATTTATCTTAGTCCTCTCAGTGTGTCTGTGTATATATTGCCATCATCCCACTCAGCCACAGTATGTCTGCTTCTCTAGGAGTAAACACAATCTTGAGAGGCCGTGGTTTAAGCAAAATAAGGTGAGCATCTGATCAGCGAGTCCTTCTGGTGCCTAAAGCTGTAGGTTGTAGGAAAAGAGTGATTTGTTTAACAAAAAAAGTACTTTAAGCAGTACAATAAAATAGAATGCAATAACAGTGGAAGGCCAATTTGTAATGACTGACGACGTTTTCTTAATAAAAGTGATTTCATCTGAATAAATCATCAATGCTTTCAATAGCTAGTATCAGTAATGTGTGGACAGGGGAGGCAT